AGTGGAAATTGATCCTATGGCTGACCTTCTTTTCAATGAGTTTGAGGACTGCACTACTGAGATATTCCTGGAAAGGACACTGAATTGTGTTTTAACTTGGTCAGGATGACATATAGCTGTTTTACTCTTCTTATAAACTCTTCCTTCTACTCCTGGTTTGGAAGCTCGAGATAAATTAGGAGATTCTGTGTTTTCACACTGGCTGCTCTATTCCTTACAGCCCTGTTTATGACAAGTACTTATCTGCATCTTGAAGCTTTCAGTAGCTGAAATTTTAAATCCAGATGGATCACATCTAACTTAATCTCCTCTTTGGAACTAAACTATCGATTGAACAAATATTGATAAAAGAACTTACAGAGCAGTGTGGGTACCAGCTCCTGATGTTATTGCTAGAAGTCGCAGCTACAGCTGGCTCTTACAGAGAGCCTGAAACCTCACTTGTGGAATACTTTACTGGTTCCTTGTTCCACATCTACACTGAGAAGACAGAGGGAAAGTGAGCTGGGCCAAAGCCAGAGCCACAGTGGTGCATGGACAGCCAGTTTTTCAGAGTCTGGGCGCTGTGCTACTGAGACTCCTCCCAGTCAGACTGGGTCACCATCACTAAGGAAAGGATAAAATTAGCTTGGCTATTAGAAATGTTTGGCTAATAAATAAAACAGTGGAACACTTTTGCATAACAGTGGATGCAACCATAGACAGAGGTATGTTCTGGCCGCTTGCCTGGATGTAAATACTGCATGACTAAAATTATTTGCTTTGTTCAAGCTCAAAAACAATCAATTCAGTAGAAACAAGAGAGATTTCACAGAGCTGAGCCTGTATCCAAAGCTGTGAGTACAGGAAGCATGAACTGTGTGTGTCTTGGGGCACCACTCCTTCCTCCAGCACTCTCCCTCCCCAGGTCCCTGAGTGCCTTTTGGTTGACATCTCATGTTGAAAAGCACAGGGATCTCAGCAGAGAGCCGAATGCATGGGGAAGCAGAGGGGGAAAGACACAATAAACAGAAGACGTATCCAAAACCAGTGTGTCGGACCTGCAGCACTGGTCCAGCTCGTTTAATGTCTGGCAAAGGAACCACAGTCTGCGGTGTCTGATGAATGTCATGACTGCCTTGGGTAGGATCCAGATCAGGTCCTCATCCTGTGTCTTTTCTTGCAGAGAATTACTGCTGACTCCTGGGATTTTCCCTCTGTGGTGAATAGGTCACAATGTCTCTCTGTTGCTGCAAAGCAGGCGCTTGTAGCTGCTAAATCCACCCAGAACTGGAGCACTGAAGGCACAAAAACAAACAGCAGCCCAGGGGATGGGATGAAGCACAGAAGCAGAAAGTTGGAGAGACAATGCAGTGGGAGGTGTCAGGGAAGAGGTTAAGGGCCAAGATGACTTTGTGAGCAAAGAGAAGCAGCAGTAAAAGATTTTTACTGTCCCATGGCAGCAGGCAAGGTGTGACGGAGAGCTAAAGAGCCAAGATGGCCTCATCGGAAAGCAGCCCCTGCTGACTCACTGACTGAGTCACAGCCTTGCCCAGCCTCTGTTCTTTTTCCAATCAAGGAAACAGCAACTTCCCACAAACTTCTTTAAAGGCTGCCATTTGGATGCTGAGCATTCCTGCACCAAGTTTCCACTCTTGAACAATCCCCTGTGCCCTTCCATGTCTGTTACCCAGCAGGAGGCACAGTCATTCAAAGCACACCATGTCCTGAGGGAGGAAATGCTGCTGTGGCCTCTCCAAAGCAGAAAAGGGATTTTCTGCTGATCGGCCCATGCCGGCAAAAGACAGGCTCTCACAGGAAGGGAGGCAAGGGGAAAATTCAAGCTGGGAGATTTCCATTCTGACACTGAACCTCCGCCCTGCTGGGGAAAATGCTCACCTTCACAGTACCGCACTGCTTTGAAAGAGGAGATTGCACACCCTGCTGCTGTACTTTTAGGGTGGGCAGAAGATGGCCTACAGTGAGAGACACAAAAACTCAGGAATAACAATTGCCTCAACTGAATTCCTGTTTGGATTCAGAAAAAAATCAGTGAAAATCAACAAGTAAGACTAATGTTACAGATGGAAGAAAGAGGAACCAGATAGCAAAGAGTATACTTGAGAAGATTTCAAGAACAGGAAAATGACACAGGAGATAGGGAAAAATCTCTACACTGGCAAGGCTAAAAGTGAGTTTTAAAAGTCCATTAGGAACATAAGCAATCTTCGTCACACTACAGGCCAAGAAGTAGATAAGAAAAACATTATTAAGGCTCGTAAAAGGCACGAGATCTTTATAAATGTTTTTGTTCTCTTTCAGGACGCAATGTCTTTTGGGATCTTGCCATAATCTCAGAGAATGACCAGCATTTAGGTGAGATCAGCACCCTAGAGCACTGGGATAACCAAAGAATGTTGGTCTCCTGGTATGACCCACAAGTAAATATAAAATTGCACTGAGAATATGTGCAGGTACCATAAAGAATTTGGGACATTAACTAAGAGGCTATGCCAGTGACACCAGCAAGGGATTTATTTTCAAGACAGAAGCCTTTAACACAGTCAAATATGTTTATTTGTCTCAGCTCAAAGACTATGTGGAATTTTCTAATCCAGAAAACAAAAACCCTGAGAAGGAGTCAAGAGCCACCATGGACATGTATCTGGACTCAATCACCCAAGGTAGTGGTGTGGGTAAAAAGGCCAGTGTGGCCCTCAGACAACCAACCATGTAGAAAGCTGGGGGAGAAAAGTGGTTGTATCTCTCTAGTTCATATTGATGGAGCAGATGCCGAAACTGTTCTTATCTTTTTGTTGTTTATAAATTGGATAGAGAGCAAGAAAAAGCCCTCAAATAATTGGTGAGAAGAAGGAAACAATCCTAAGACCAGAAGAGCCCAGGCTGCTTACCTTATCCAAAGGTAGAGGCAAGACTAGATTACAAAGTATATCTGGTGAGAAAACAGGCTTTTAAAATTGCCACAGAAAGGCACAACAGGCACCCATGGTTCGAAACACAGCTGAAATTAAAAATAACGTGCAATTTTAAACTGTGAGGGTAATTAATCACTGGAGGAAATGACCAAGGGAGGTGGTGACTTCTCCTGCTTTTCACGTTTTCCATGTGGTACATAATACCTTTCTAAGGGCTGCTACAGCCAAATCACTCAGCAAAGATTACAGTAGCCATGGGAAGGCGGAATATCCGGGGGTTCGTTATTGTCTGGTTGTTTACACTGTCTGATGACATTTCAATGCATCATCTGGAATACAGGAATTCACACTTGTCACCTTTGCCATTGAACTTGAGTGGTGCTCCCTTCTACATCCATGCTCTTCTTCTTGATGGATCTTTAATCCCTTCCCTTATGCTTGACTAATCAGCTTCAAAAACACATGGAGAACATCCCTAAATGGCAAAGCAGCCTAGAGCTGGCCAGCCTGGTGGGGCAGTAATTCTTCACATGCGGAGTCAGCCCTGCTTGGGTAAGAGCTACAGGATGCGCCCTGGAGGGACTGAGAGGCTGATGGCAACACTGAAGAGTGCAGACATGGTCTGAGAATAATTACTGGATGAAGGCTCCCTGAGCACCTGAGCTTGGAAAGAGATCTGTTAGGCCCCAAAGAGAGCATGATCCTAAACTTCTTAGACCTAAACTGAGTCCAAACAAGTTCAAGGTTGGGCAAAACTCTGTATGTTCAGAGATCTTTAAACCCAAAAGTTGTGGGCCTGTGAAGGTTAAGTGCCTCTGCAGCAAGACTTCAGGAGTCTGGACTCAGGCACCTCCACTCCACCAATCTGTAGCGTTCAAGTCTTCCAAGGAAACCAAACCCTGCACTATAAAACACATCTGTAACTACTTGTACTTCACATTGATACACACAAGGGGGGGGAAGGAAAGCTCCTTGGGGAACAATTTTGGCCAAAGACACTAGGCCATTCCTTTCCTATTTGAAGAATCTTTCTAGTCTGTTCAGAGCAGGAACTGTGCCAGGTTTTAGCACACACACAGAATGTCTGCCTTTTCCTCTAACACAACAGCAGAAGTCCCTTTGGTTCTTGATGTCTGTAATAGAGACTCGATACCTTCTTCCAGATAGATATTACAACTAAACAGTAGACACTGCCTTCAGGACATGTTACTGAGAAAAACACAACATTCTGCTGTACCACGACAGTCAAATGAGCAAAAGAGCTCCTCCACAGATTTGTAGTCTAGGAACAACACCCACCATCGTAGGATGATGCACGAATTTCAGGCTGCTGTGATCTGTAGCCCAGCAGTACCAAATTCTTTAAGCCAGAGTTCTCTGTGATCTTGTGTCTAAATTGGCTGTAGTGGAAGAAATCATAAACCCATTCCACGGGGAGCAGATTGAGGCTTGCAGATGAGAAAGTGCAATGGTGGATGCTTGGTTACTGACAGGTATAGTTCTTAGGAAATGGCACAGTTGTTATTATTACTATTTACCCGACTTCAGAGTGAAGCTAAACATTTTTTGAAAAACTGCTTGAAATAATTGGTTTATTTCTATACTGAAGGCCCACTTTTCCCAAGTGCTTTCTTTCTCTGATGGCTCGCTGACCCACAGGGTGCAGTTTCCATCGTTGCTGCAGAGCAGCTCCCTGCACGGCAATGTCTGTGGGACCTCTTGTGGGCTCTCTCCTAAACTGCACGTAGGGTGCACAGCGCTGGGGGGAAAAATGTTTCCGCGTTCATATGTAGGTGCATCAAAGAGCCTTTTACTGCACGTCCCGTCGTGTGGATTCGCAGAAGTTTGATGCTAACGTGCACATCTACAGGGAACGGTAAACACAAGGAAAGAATTGCTTTTTAAGGGGGGAAATTCGATCCCCGAGCGACGCTCGGTTCATGCTTTGGCTACTTTACAGAGATAGCAGTGAATGTAAAATCACGGAACGGTTTAGGCTGGAAGGGACCTCACAGACCGCCTAATTCCAGCCCCCCGCCCCGGGCAGGAACCCCTCCCACTACCCCAGTGCCTCAGAGCCGCCATGGCGGACGCGCTCGCGCCCCGCTCTATGGTCCGCGCGGCCGCCGCGGTGCATTGTGGGCGCGTGGCGGAGCTATGGCGGCGCTGTAGAGCCTGTTGGCGGGGCGGAGGAGGCCGCGCTGTGAGTGACCGGGAGGGCGGCTCGGGGGCGGCCTGGGGGGCTGCGGGGGAAGCTCTGAGGGGGGTAAAAGGCGGCCCTGGGGCAGGGGGGGAGCTCTCCCAGCGAGGGGACGGGCTGCGGCCCGGCGCTGCGATTCGGGCCCCCCCGTGAGGGCGCAGCTCGGCGAGGCCGAGCCAGATCAGCTCCAGGCCGAGCCGGTCACTCTCTCTTGGACCATAATTCATGGTAGCGCTAAAGAGGCTCTTTCGGGCCCGCGTCTCTGAAACCTCAGAGGTTTCAGAGTGGTGACGGTTCGCGAGTGGTTTCAGGTGGGGTTTGGGTCCTTTTAGGGCAAGGTGAATACAGACTGACTTAGCCCTGTACGGAACGGCTGAGGGAGCTGGGGGTGTTCAACCTAGAGTAAAGGAGGCTTAAGGGGGACTTTCTCACTGTCTGCAACCACCTGAAAGGAGGATATCGCCAGTGGGGGTTGGTCTCTTCTCCTAGACAACTAGTATCAGGATGAGAGAACACAGCTTTAAGCCACAACAGTGGAGGTTCGGGTTGGACATTAGGAGGAATTTCTTCATAGAAAGGGTGACTAGACATTGAAATGGGCTGCCCGGAGAGGTGTTGGAGTCACCGACCCTGGAGATGTTTAAGGAAAGACTGGACGTGGCATTTAGTGCCATGATCTGGTTGGCAAGGTGGTGATCAGTCATAGGTTGGACTCAGTGATCTCAGGGGTCTTTTCCAACCTAATTGATTCTGTGACTTAAACAAATCAGGGCCGCTTGCCAGGCAATTTGTTAATGCTTCATGAAACTAACGCAGCCACATTGGATCTCATTCTTCACCTGAACTCCTGGATCCACCCTGTTACACATTATTAGCATAGGTAAGTTAGGAGAGCAGGTGACTTTCTTGGATCATGGATCTGGCAGAGTCTATGCCAAGGCCGAGCTAAAATGTCTCGCTGAGCTTCAGCTGACTTGCACAGCATCAGTGAAATGTGTCAGCTCTTCTTGATTAACAGAGCCAAGCCTAGTTACTGTCTCACTTCTTTTTAAGGATGTTTCCTTCTGTTAATTTTGTTTTCTCAGTGTGTGACCCACTCAGTGGGTCAGTGGCAGGAACTGTGTTCTGCCTGATGGGATGTTACTTTCAGCCACACATTATATTGTAATTTTGACACTGAAGTTGTGTGCTTTGTGCTCTCGTTAAAAGTGACTAAATAACAAATAATGTAAGTAGAGCATAAATATTTTTGTACCACAAAAGCATACAAAGCAATGTCATGGTTTTTTTTCTTTGCTTTTTAATATTATTACTAGATTCTCTTGTCACCCTTCAACATTCAACCTTCTGGTTGGTATGACTAGTGCCTTTATATTCTCTGCAGGTCTCTGTGTCCTAAATATCTTTAGGCTCTGGTTAGTGGATGTGTGTCTTGGTGAGGCAGGAATAAGAATTATTTCAGATAGATTTAAGGTGACAGAATTATAGAATAAGCTGAGTTGGAAGGGCCCCACAAGGATGATCAAAGTCCAGCTCCTGGCCCTGCACAGGACAGCCCCAAGAGTCACACCGTGTGCCTCAGAGCTTTGTCCAAACACTTCTTGAATTCAGTCAGGCTTGGTGCTGTGACCATTTCCCTGGGGAGCCTGTTCCAGTGCCCAGCCACCCATCTGCATGAGGAACCTTTTCCTGATAGCCAATGCAAACCTTCCCTGACACGGCATCATGCTGTTACCTAGGTCTTGAAGGTGCTGGTTGATCACGCAGGGTTTTCTGGCATTGGTTAACCTGCTCCAACTCTTGGCTGGCACAGTGGTTTGGGATTGCAGGGTCTCTAGGTCCCCTCTGGCAGCACTGAACACAGTAAGGGCTAACAGAGTATCTGCATGGCTGAGGCTGGCTGAGTCTGTTTCGCTCCTTTGCCACAGAATAATTGATAGGAGGAATTTTGGGGCATCAGCCAGGTTTTTTTTTTTAGGACATGCTGGCAATATGTGAGTTCCTGCAGCTTCTCAGGGAGAGCTGGTGACAACTTCTCCATTTGCTTTTGTACTTACACTTTGCTTACATAAGGGTGAAGCTGTCAGCCTTGTGCCACCAGGAAAACATTGATCCCCCTTCAGAAGGTGCTGCTGACCAGCTGGAGCTCTGCACAGGTCAATCCCAAAGGACTGTGCCCCAGCATTGATAACAGGGTTGTGCCTGCACTGGAGAATGGAGCAGGGCCGTGGCCAGGGCTGGAGTGGTCAGGTTGTGTGATCTTTATCAGTATTTAACAACCAGCACCATCCTGGGTGTGCTGTGCTATGTGTCCACCAGCATTTCTGGTGATGGTACCTAGATACAGTTTGTGGAATAATGAAGGGAACATTCCCTGCAGGCAGCCATTTTTGACTGCAGTTTTTCAGGAGGAGAAAGAGTTCCTTTGCAAGACTGAGATGCTTGCTTTAAGGGTTGGAGACCAGCTCCTGGACGGTTTTATTTACTTTACAAAGGTACTTTACATATTCTTGTTAGAGTCTGTGTGTTGTCTTTCAAGCATGTTGGCAGAGATTTTATTTTGAAAATCTAGATAAATTCTGTTCAATAAAAAGCTCCTTAAGTTTGGAGGACCAGGAGCTGAGTGATAGCTGATGTTCTGTGGTGGGACTTGTCTCTGCTTTTACAGTTCAGGAGCAAAGTAGCTTCTGATGAGTGTCTTTCACTGCACGTTTAGTAACATCTGGGTTTATCCCCTGATTGTTTAGGAGTTAAAATGACGACAGCAGCAAGGCCGACGTTTGAACCTGCAAGAGGAGGAAGAGGAAAAGGTGAAGGAGACTTAAGCCAGCTATCCAAACAATATTCCAGCAGAGATCTTCCTTCTCATACTAAAATCAAATACAGGTCAGTACTGGGGTTTTGGGTCTTAGGGCAAAACAGGCTGGGAAAGATATTTTTGTTATGAGTGGTACTCTGAAATTTTCATGGTAGATGTTGATGTGCTCGACAGTGAGCAGGGTTCAGAGCTTGTGCAGCAATGCTGTACAAGTGGGCTGAAAGTCTCAAAAGCAGACCTAGGAGATCAAATGCAGTGCAGGTAACTGGAGAGGTTTAATTTTAGTGGTATTTGCTACTGCCTGTGGATGTGAAACATCAGAAGGAGAATATGAGCATTGGAGACTGAGTATTTTAGGTAGTGGAGTGGAAAGGAAGTTGTTATTGGGACTGAGCCACAAGATGGGATGAGAGAAGCCAAGTTGAGCATGTCTTAAAAGCAGGAAAACCATATCATGGTGTTGGTGAAAGACCACTTGATAATGGCATTAAGAGGAGGCAGGAAAATCATGGAATAGTACTCAGGCAGTACTATGTATTGGAAGAGCTGATATTTAACACTGCAGGTGGTTCATGCAGGTCCTACGAGAGGAAATTGCTTTAGTCACCAAGAAAGATAATGTGATCTTAGGAATATTTTCCTCCGTTTGAAATGCATAAAAATCTTTGTTATCTTTTTGAAAGATTAAATAAAATCTGGAGTCAATGTGGTACATAGAATTTATATTAAATGTGGCAATCTGAAAATGTTCATTTTATCTAACTGATGTTGCTCTTTTCCATGAAATTACTGTCAAGGTTTTATGTCTGTGCATTTTTTGTGTAGATGTTTACCCTGACACCTCTTCCGTCCTGGCCCTCTGCTTTTTAAGAATACATATTCATAAGGGAGTTGGAGTGTTTTGGAGGATACCAAAATCAGCAGCACAAAAAGTGCTGTCAAATGTGTTTTGCTGGTGCTTTGTTTCTGTAAACAAAAGTAGGATTTGGAGCACCAGTCTGTTGCTTTGAAAGAAGTGTGTGGGGACAGGTATGTACAGGAATAAACAATGTATGTTTTAACAAATCCATCTGTTTGTGTGAGAGGGAGAGATGGAGGGAGCATTAAGTGTCATCTATTCTTTCTCCCAAATACTAATACAAAGTTGTCTTTGTTAAATTGCCAGGACTGCATCATTGCAGGAAAAGTTCAGTGTTTCAGTCCCACTCATGTTCGCCTGAATGACACAGGGTTTGGGGGGATTTTGCAGCTCTAACAGGAATTCCAAGTTCAGGTTTTTAATTACAAAAGTAAATTAAATACTTCATCATAAAGACAGGCCGTGCACACAATGTGTTTATAATGGCTCAAGTATGGGTTTCTTCCAGGCACTCTTATTTCCAGCACTGGGTTCACAGAGAGGTGAAAGGAATTGCTGCTTGTTTTTATTCCTTAGTTCTTTTCAAGATTTCCACAGCAATTTCAGCACTCTCTAGGTGGAACTTTGTGTGACTTGGATATGCGTAGTTCATTGCTTTTGGTCAGCATGTTATATAAAAGAGGGACAAACATGTTTCAAGATGCTTCACTAAAGCTCGTGTTTTGCTTGTTCTCCCAACCTTCTTTTTAGTGGCTATGGTTTATGAAGGTTTATGAGAAGGATGTTCTAGTCTTGGTCTTGTCTGTAAGCCTCAGAGACTGGGTTTGCAGCAGCGACTTTGGGGAATAAAATGGTGAAGAGAGGTCCCCATAGCGCTGTTCATCCCAGGATTTATTGGCCTCCTTGGAAAAATTGCTCTCAGGTGCAGACTGTCAAAATTCAGGCTTTCTTTCACCCTTGTTTGTCATTTTAGGCAGACCACTCAGGATGCTCCTGAAGAGGTGCGTAACCGTGATTTCAGAAGGGAGCTGGAGGAGAGAGAACGGGTCGCTGCAAGAGAGAAGAACAGAGACAGACCAACCAGAGGTAAAAACAGAGAAACAAAAATCTCAATGGCTTTGTGTGACACCGCTCTTGCATGAAGCTTAGCGTTGTAAGAAGTTTGCAGGTTGCAGACAGCATGTCATGGGAGTAGAATTTAGGGTATTGGTCTGATAGTTCAGAGCTGTTGACCTGCAAGGGAATGTCTGCTGGCTTTCATTCTGGCTTCATGCTAGCAGGAATCTAGGCCAGCCAGTAGAAAAGCCTAGGCCATCATGCAGGCCAGCTGATACAGCCTGGTTGTAATGAATTGGCAACAAGTACGTACAGCTAATAAAGAGCTTTTTCTTGTACTTGGACAAGCGAGACAGGGAGGAGAAGGGGGAATGACTCATCCTCTGGTGTTAACAGCACCAGTGTAACAATAAATCTGTTTTGAAAGTACACAGTTCTGTTAATACACAGGGAAGTAATAATTAAAATGAAAGAGCGCTTTGAGAAATACTCATTTTTAGCATTAAACTTGGCAGACTTTTAAGCACTTTAAGTTTAGGTATAAAGGTATTGCACGGCTTTAAAATTTCAAATTTTGGTTTGGGCAAAACTACCCAACAGTAATGCTTTGGGGTGGTCCTAAATGAGAATCCTCCAGTTGGATATATACAATATGTATATTTTTTCCACGACTATTTCTTCTGCTATTCTTTCTGCCTCAAATCATGGCTTAAAAAATTTCTGGAGGCTGAATTGTAAGTTTGGGATGTTATTGCTTCTCTTGAGGATATCTACAGGGGAGGAATTAGCATAGGCATTGAGATTGAGAAGTGAGGGAAAAGTGAGCATAAGCTTGTTTCTCTTACTGTAATGCAAGACAAATATTTTGTGAAGATTTTTGCTTTCTGACATTAGATGCTGTTAAATGAAGTAACTTAGTCCCTTTTTTTTTTAAACTCTTCTACCACAGAACATACAACATCATCTTCTGTGTCTAAGAAGCCTCGGCTAGACCAGATTCCTGCAGCAAATCTTGATGCAGATGATCCGCTTACGGATGTATGTATCTTTTGTCTGTCTTCTTTCCTTTTATTGTCCTACCTTCAGGATTTGCTGTCAATGGAATATGTAGTTTTACATTTGCTAAAGATTTAAGACAAGCTCCAGCTTATCTTCCTTTTACAGTTTCTCTACTGTGGTGGAAGTCCAGAGTGGTTGGAGGATTCCGGTCCTTGCTGTAATGCTATTCTTGGAAAGCACACAAAAACTAGGGAACTGAAAATACCACTTACAGTGTGGGTAGTGGGTGACTTTTTGGTCAGCTACTGGGTTAGTTAGAATTCCCGAAAGGTAGAACTGCTGGGATATATGCAAATGACTGTCTGCATGAGCAAAAGATGCTTACCCTTGGCTCCTTTCCTCATGCTGACATCTAGGAGCTAGGTCAAAGGTTTGACAATAAGCTCAGGGTTTTTTAATCCTGTGATACTGGGTCCCAGCAGTATAGGATGGGGTATTCAAGCACACTGTTGTAATAACTTATGTCACAGTGATTGGAGAGTGTTTGAGGATGGCTGTTCTCTGGGGTCTGTCAGTTACACTGCATTTTTAATTGCAGTCGTCCTGAAAGCACAAACATGTTTTTATTTTGACTTTACCATACAAGAGCAAGCAAAATGTCTGTGTTGTGTTTTGCTGCTACAAGCACCCACGTACTTCAGAAATCAGCAAATTGCAACCTTAACTGGGCAGACCAGGATTGATTTTATTAAATGAAATGAACGAGCTGATTCTTGCTTCTATTTGTTGCTATTAGGAAGATGATGAAGATGAGGACTTGGAAGACAGTGATGATGATGACACTGCAGCTCTTCTGGCTGAACTGGAAAAAATCAAGAAAGAACGAGCTGAGGAACAGGCTCGAAAGGTAAAATCTCACCCATTAAAGAGCACCTGGTTTTTTTGTAAACTGGTGTTTATTAAAACTGGTGTGCCTGAAGTACTTAGGACAAGTGAGAACTGGTAAACACAATGCTCTTCAAGTATGATGTATTTGTTCTTCTATCTAATAATTGCCAAGAATATAGATATACTGAATGTTTTACTCACTGAAACATTTTATTCACTTTTTCTACACTTTGTAGAGGCAGTCAGTCAAGATAGTCTTGCTTTTCATAGGCAAGTCGTCTGAAGACGGCTATCCTGCCAAATTGTGTAAGTGGCATTAGTGAGCTGCATACTATACAGTGTAATTTAATTTGTTAATTAGCTTTTATGAAACAAAAAAATTATTTCTGAAATAAAGATACGTGCTTTTTGATGCTGCTTCTTATGGCTGCAGGTTTCATATAGTCGTTGTTTTTCATAGAATTGGTGCTGTGTTGCCTTGACAAGGAGCACCAGTTTTAGCTGTAAGACTGGAACTGTTTCCATGTGGTTATACACAGGCAAATTCATTTGAAAAATGTCTCTGCAAAAACGAACAATAATGCTGCAGTCTTTTCAGAACTGGGAAACTCAATGCACACGTAGCTTTCAGACATCCCTATAATATCTGTCTACAGACAGAAACACCATTTTCTGCCTTGAAAGGGGAGTGAAGTCCCTCCAGTTACGGATGTTTCCCTGTGAGTGGGATTAAATCCTAAGCTTTTGGCTCCTTTGTGTAAGAGAGATAGCTGGGCTGGAGTGAATTAGCAAAATCCTTGACTGATTAACGGAGTTCCAGGGACTGTTCCTGGGAGTAGTCTGTGTAGATCTGTCAAACTGATCAGGATTTAGAATTGTATTGGGTACTGGCTATAACATTGTATTGCAATAAAATTTACAGTCCAGGTATTTAATCTTCACTGCTGAAACGCTCTGCCTTTGGGGGTGCAACAGAAGTGGATATGTGCAGCATTCCCTCATCTACTTTTACCAAGTGCTTTCTTTTTTTGAATAGGGCTTAAATCATCTTAGTGCATTTGTAAAACGTTACTTCCTTTAGCTAAAGTAGTTTTGTACGTTTTTATAAGTATATTCTCCTCTACTGTAAACCAAAACAAAACAAAAACCCCAAAGCAAACAAACAAAAAAAATCTGTCAGAAAACCAAGCCACCTGTCACCTTTTAATAAGCTAGTCTAAGATGTGTTTTTAGAACATGCTGAATAAACACATTAAATGCTGAACAGGAGGCTATTTAAAGGCTGCTCTGTCAACTTAATGTTTTGAAGCCACTGACCTTTCCTGTAGCTTAACACACTTATTCGTAGTTTAATGTTTTTCGTGAATGCTTAGCTGGCAGTGAATCAGGCATAGCCTCTAGCAGACACTAGAAACAGCTAGGAGAGGATGACGTTTTAATTGCTGTAGGCAGCAATGCAATGCAGGCCTGTTCTTGCCGAAAAATACAGAAATTTACCTTTAGAATCAGCAAGGCCTGTAAAGCCAGTGAGCTCTGCAGTTTTGGAGTTAAGTAGTACGGAAGGCTAAAAGCTGTATCATGCTGCTTCAGTGCAGAAATTTTGCCCTAGAAGACTGTTGATACTTGATTCTCCATCTGGCCTGTGAGTGGTCTCCTGCATTAAAGTATGTCTGAAGGCATCTCTCGTCTCTTTATCTGGACATTTGAGGCACATCACACAGAAATGAAATTGTCTTTTGCAGTAACAACATGGTGAAAGTGACTTAAAAACACTGGCAACAATTCTTCCATGTATTCCTGTGTGAAATCGTACAAAACTGCAAATAAGGTGTAGCCATGTGTAGGAAGGACTTTGGCTTCATCTGTCCTTGCACAGTGCTTAAAATGAAAGCTTAGGTCCATGTGGATTTTTCATTTTACCTGATTGTTTAAATTATACATCTAGATTAAAGAGCATAACTTGTTACATTTCAGTCTAGAGAACTTGCATTAGAAAAATAATGGTGGTAAATTGCAGCTCAGACAATCAAGTGCGTGCTTCTCTTTTCATGTGTGGCAAGTAGGAATCTCCATGAAATTCTAATTTTGTCACTAGAGGGTGCTAAAAGCCATGAAGTATTTAGGATAGCAATTGTTTGATTTTGCTTTCTTAACAGGTATTATGTTTTACCGTCATGGACATTCTCCTTCCCCCAGAAGCAGAGTTTATAATGTCCAATGCTATGTGCATACTGAATATTTGCATGCTTACATGAAATGAATGTTTGTTTCTTCCTAAAAATTAGTATGTTATTTATTTGCAATAGTGCCCACTATTGCACACTCGCTGTCTAGACCTGCACTGTTCATCCTTTCACTCGATGGTGGCAGGTAGGCTCTCTTTAAAACTGGCATCTTCAGTAAATAGAGGGTGCTCTACAAATCCTTAGAATTTTATTTTCTTGGGTTTTTTTGAGAGTAGGAAACTCTATGTTGATGAAAAAAGTGGAAACCAGGGTGGGGCTCAGTCTTGGAAAGAGTCTTTTAGGGTAAGTAAGGATCTCCTTCAGAAAGATTGCTTATGTGTGTTGGTTCTTAAGTGGTGCAGTCTCTTTAGATTATGCCTTGTTTTCCATGGCATTGAGATAAGGTGTTACTGGCAAAGGATTTTATAGTAATTTTATGTAAATTCCTTTTCCCTTCAGATATGGGGGATTTCATATAGCTATGTACTGCAAGCTGTAATGTAAACATAATTTTGTAAGTAACCTTGCATTAATCATTCAGCTGACTTCAGGATGACATCTCATGTAAAGTCTTAATTGTGTAGTTGCTGTTAATCCTAATCCATGGAATGCTTTATCTGCTGAAATGCTGCTGTCCATAGCAGGCAGTGTGGGTAAAACAGTGTTCAGGCAAAGGGAAACTGCAGAGTGAATGCCTGTTCTCTCTCCACTCTGCAGGTCATTCTTGAATGTCTTTGTTATATGGACAGATTAATGTGTCTTTTCTTGTCATCTTCTTGGAACATCCTAGGGTCTTAATAAGATTAAGTGGGTCAAGTAAGTAAGGTATCCCAAACCTGTGCAATATGTAAATTTCCCGGATACTTTAGTTATTTTGATTTATTAAAATGTTAGTCCAATTATTTCTGAGACTTCAGTTAAACTGTATTTTTGTTGATTGTTTTGACTCGTCACTTTGGTGTCCATGACTTGCATTGCCATGAAAGGAGGACTGCTCCTTTCAAAATGCGTATCTGGTGAGACAGCTGTTAAAAAGAAAATTTGAGAATCTGCTTTTTTCGGGTCATTGTGTTCCCTGTTAACTTCCCTTGTGTGGTAATACCAATTTCCGTAGAAATCATCTAAATCTAATTTTGACAATATTAGTTTTAAGAGGTTGTAATAGTTTGTCAGCCAAATAAGCAATTCCTCTCAAAGCTTGTTAACTTCTCAAAATGCTTAAATTCTCTTGAATAACGTAGAATCATTAAACAAATACTACGCATGTTTTTTTAAAAACTGAGCATGGGAGTCCTCCTGACTTTTTTCACTCCATCCACGATTGTAATCTCAGGTTGTTTCTAGTAGACACTAAACTGACCAGGAAGGTCTAGTTTTGAAAGCCTTTTCTGTGGAATAATTCTAGGTCTTTATAAAACTATGCAAACACTAGGTCTGTGTCTGTGTTATCCATGGATAGGTTTCATAGAAGCATTTCACTGTTCTAAATTCAGCTTTACAATGCTCCTGATTTTCAATTTTCAAGTGCTTCCTTAAAAGGTGAATTGAAATAATTAAAAGCAAACTTCAAATCAGCGAGCAGCTGAATGTACATGTGCAGTTCCAGCAAAGCTCTTTGAACATCCAGTCATTTTTTGCTTAGTTGAGAGCAGACTTTAAGTTTTTGATATGTTTTCTTAACGGTTTTATTTCACCAAATGTTTCTCTGTAACTGAATATATTGCTTTACCAGTGGTCACAGTAGATCTTAGCTCTGCCCTGTGTTTTAGCCATGTCACAGGCATTCAAATAAAACATCAGAAAATAAGTCTTGGTAAAAATTAACCTTTTCCCTTAGATCTTAAGGGTCTGACTAAAACTAGAATATCAAATTGGTGATATAAGAAAGAATTTCAGTAAAGAGGCAAAAGCAGTTTCAGTCAGTTATTTGAATCGCTGTGTTGCACAGTTAGTAATTTGCACAGGATCAAATAACTGGGGTGGATCTCTGCATTATTGAGTTTAGTTCCCTGCTGCTAAGGGCAAGGGCTGTCACAGTGTGTCACTCAAAAATTAGCATTCAAATCAGGTTATGTGATGTATTTTATTTTATTTTTTTTTAACTTTTTTTTCAGCCTTCAGTGAAATGTGGGTATTTCAGGTTTCCTTTTAGCTACTCAACATCTATAAAACAAAGTAGGGTAACTGACTTTAATACAATGGAATTGTTTCAGGAATTTCAGCACTTTCTGTAAAAGTAATCTTGCTCTGTGCTAAGGGTAGGAACTATACTAAAAAAAAAATAACCATGGTAACAATACTGTTTTTCTTTCCTTTGCTGTCAGAAACAAATATGCCCAGGGACTGTTAAATCTTACAGCAAGATAAGGAATAACTGTTTAGTTAAGGTTAATATAGTTCTGTCTGCTTTTTCCCCCAGCTGTGATGCTGTGTGGTGAGTGCAGCCGTGCAGCGCAGGCTTGCTGCGAGATCCAATTTACATAGCAGCATGTCTATCTGCTTGCTCGGGGTATGGGGCTCCCTCTGCCAGTCCCGTTGTATTCCCCACCCCACAATATTCGTGTATTGTTGCCTCTGCCCCAGAACACGGTGGTGGCTACGTGGCTGATGTCTGATTGATCTCTGCAGAGAGCTGGTGCAGCACGCTGCCTCTGAACAGCACAGCGCTGCTGGCTGCAGTGAGGGAATAATCCCTAGCGTGTTCTTTTGCTAAAATGGCTTAGGAAGAGCGTTGTAAACCACCTCGTGTTGCGAAACAGGAAGGCAGGCAAAGAGGCATTATTTTAGAAAGGGT